TGGCTCATGACGGCCCCCGGTACGTGAGGTTTCCCCTGGCAGGGCACGCGCTGCTGGGAGCAAGTCGTCAGCTCTCCCACCCTGAGCCGAAACACCCAGCTGCTGGGCCGCGAGATGTGAACGCGACCACTGGCGTTACAGCGCTTTCTGTCTTGGAAACAAGTAAATGCACAACTGGTTGTTTTAGGCCGGAGAAGTGACCAAGTAACAGCATCCAGCTAACGGATTTTTGGATTTGTAGTAATGGTAGCTAACTGCAGAAGGAGGTCTGTACTCGCTGGGGTACAACGTACCCCATATAGGTGTATTTGCACTGGACCCAACTAACGGCAGCACCGGTGTCGGCTTGAGCGGTCGCTGCGGTGGTGACGAGACCCTCCTGCCGCCAAGTTTCACAAGCTGGGAAGGTGGAGCTGGGACGCGTTCCCAGGCTTTAGTTGGGGGGAGCGTTTCAAAGCACTGTGAGGGGGGTGGTCCTGTCCCTCCCCCCAAACCAAATGCACAAATGCAGTATTGGGAATCCGGTAAAGTAGACTCTCCTGTTAGAAGCGAGTTACTCGGTGTCAGTAGCTCTCTGTGTTTTTTTCCTGTTTTTCCCTGCGTTTTCAGCAAGCTGTACCATAGCAGCCGGCTGCAAGACTCTGGCAGAGTTTGTAAACATACAACTTCAGATAACAATGTACTCTGAATTCACTTTTTGCAGCCTTGGGAGGAGAAAGTGTGGGGCGATGTTTTTAATTCCTGCGAGGCCGGTCTGTTAGCAGCCCCCGCAGGAACCCAGCAGGCGGGGTTCCCTTTCTGCTGTTCCTTTTGGGTTTGGTACGCTGCCTCTAAAAGCTAGGACACAAGAATCCCGGAGCTGCTTAGGAGATAGTAAGACCAGAGGAGTTATTACAAGTCTTCAGGACCTTAGAAACCTCATTCTTTTAAATTAAGTTTGTTTATACATCTGCTGTTTTGCTGATCGCTACAAAACAGACTCAAGCTCACGGCTTGTGCAGCTGAAAACATGCCGATATATTCCTGGACTTCTTCCCAGAGGGCTGGGAGGAGAGGGGAGTCCTGCAGCTTCTTCGTGCCATGGTGTGCCTGGGGGATTGCAGTCCTCCACAGATGGCTCCTCGTCCGCCAGGGGTGTTAGTGGTCCAAAAGAGATGTTACCTGTTCCTGTAAATTTTGACTCCTTTATAGAAAAGGAGATATCTTATTTACATGCTCAGGTTTGACGATAGTAACAGTTCTCAATTACTAGGTTTCTCTGAAAAACGGGATTGGATATAACTGTCTAGTTTATATTCTCAGATATGTTAATCATTCAAGGTATTAAATTCCACATCTTCTTCATGTAGTTGAATTTTTGAAATCCCTGGTAAGTAAAGTTCTTGAGAGCTACTGATTGAAGTTACACTGAATTGTGCCATTGACTTTTATAAGTGGCTAGTTCTTTTCTGAAGGCCCTGGCTAATTTGTAAAACTTGAAAGTGAGTAATACTGTATTACCGTTTTCCTCAGACAATATGCGTATATGACATGACACAGGGTATATGTATATGACACAGGGTATCACACATATGTGACCCAGGGTATATGACTGTATATGGCCCTGTATATGACACAGGGTTATCATTTCATAACACTCTGTGTTGATAAGACTGTCTGCTTGGATACTGTGTGCAAAACAGCAGTGTGCTGCAGGAAAGAGTCGGACCATTAGAAGAGAATTGGGAGCAAAAAGAAAAATAGGAAGTTGTGTTTTGCAGTCCTGTCAGGGAGAAAAGGAAAGATCTGGGACTGGTTAGTCTGGAGAAGAGGAAACAGAGAGAGAGGGAATGGGCTTTGAATACGTAAGAGGTTGCTGCTCAAAGAAAAGCAGCGCCTGTTGTCTGGGTCTGAGGAAGGAGGATGGGCGGTAGAGGACGTAATTAGAATAACAGATGGGGTGGGAAAAGGTCCCCTCCGCTGGGGTCGCACCGAGTAGCGGAGTTCCGCCTTTTTGGAAGTTGCATCCCCTGCGGTCTGCAGCTCTGATGTACTTTCAGAAAGGCCAGTTAGCTATCTAGGCCATCTGGCTTAGTAGCTGAGGCTGCCTGAGCTGGATAAACTGACACATTTTGAAAAAGCCTCTCTATATGCTGTAGGCTTGTGACCAGTGTCCTTTCGAATTACTCTCATTCCAGTTCATGAAGTGTTTCCCTGGGAATGCCGCCGGGATGTTATCATCGCTCGCTGGCAGCTGGCTGAGCCGCTGCTGTCCTAGCGCGGCGGCGGCGGC